ATCTATTGTTAGCTTTACAAATACCTTACTTTACTTTTTAATGTACCTCATTTTGTAAGAATCATCAAAGTTCTTTCTCTTACTCTTCTGGGAAATTGAAATAATTTTTCTCCCAAACTCATCATTCCTAATTTCAACTAGGATCATTATAGTTTTTCTCCATTATTTGGATATAAAATTACTTTCTTTTGCAAAAATAAGAAATGCAACTTCTGGTCTGGGGTTGTGGCTCAAGTGATAGAGTGCTCGCCTGGCACGTATGAAGCACTGGGTTCGATTCTCAGCACCACATAAAAATAAAATAAAGATATTGTGTCCACCTAAAACTGAATACTAAATATTAAAAATTAAAAACCAAAAAAACGAAACTTCCAACTCTCATGGTATGGCCCTACCTTGCCCTCCCAAAACAGTCTTATTTTCTGGTTCCTAGAAAGAAAAGTACATAATTAGCTCAGTCTCTTCATTTCCCTCATGTTCATTCCTCTCCCCCCCCCCAATTATTTGTTTTCCCTTTCTCTTTCCCATATATTAGGGAAGCAGTTGTTAATGCCAAGTGAAAATGTGTTCTAGGTAAAGAACTTTTGGGGGAGGGGGAAGACTGTGTATACTATACTCCTGAATTTACTGGGCAAAGTGAAGAACCACTGAACTGGGATTAATTTTTATTCTTTATATTCTGTTCTAAAAATAGCTTAGATGTTTTGTTTTAATTGAATCTCTGTTATGACTAAGACACCAAGTGACGAGGGCACGAAAAGATGAATAACCATATTTCTGATCTTCAATTAACTAAATAAACCTGAAAAATGTAATCAACTAAAAGATATAAAATCCTGACTCACAAAGCATTTTTGCCTAGATTGTCAGTGAACTTACATAAAGGGAAGATCTAAACCGAATATTCATTTTTCTTAGCATATATATTTGAGTGCTTACAATATGCTAAGCACTGTTCTAGGTGCTGGGAGTATATCAAAAAACAAAACAAGACAAAAACCGCTGCCCTTCTGATAAGGTGACACTGGAATAAAGAGATGAATGAACTTGGTATGCTCACAAACCATGTAAAAAGAAATCTTAAGGAAAGGTTACTCCAGATGAAAGGAATAGTATATGCATATTCCTGCATTGGAATTATACTTGGCATGTTTAAAAGACCAAGTGAGATTTAGTCAAAGGAAGAAGGGGAAAACGGTAAAAGATCAGGATAAACAAGTAGCAGAGGGTCAGATCATGTAATACCTTCTAGATTTCCATAAAGGCGTTGGTGATTTTTACTTGGGAAACTATTGAAGCGTTTTGAGCAAAAGATTGACAGGTGATCTGTAGTTGTAGTTTTGGGTATACACAGTGGAATATTATTAAGCCATAAAAATAACAAAATTCTTTCGTTGGTAGCAACATGAATGGCACTGGAGAACATTATGTTATATAAATCAGGCACAGAAAACCAAATATCACACATCCTCACAGATAGGATCTAAAAATTGCTCTGAAAGGAGTAAAGAATAAAGTAATGGGAAGAGCATGGGGGAGTAGGGATAAAGGGAGGATGGCTAGTGAATATGTGGGTACAATTGGATAGGAGGATTAAGCTTAATGAAGTTCTATGGCACTTAGGCTAACTATGACAATAATTAACTTAATTTCAGAATAACCAATAGAATTTTGAATGTTCTCAAAACAAAGCAGTGATATATGTATGTCCGAGGTGATAGATATACCAGACATTCTAATGTAATCATTGAACATTATGTACATATATTAAAATGTCACACTATACCCCATATATATGTATCCCATAAATATTGTACTATGTGTAAATTAAGATATATTTTTAAAGTGAAAATTAAAAAGATTACCTACTTTTTCATTCTAAGCATGAAATAGGAGTGACCTTCAGAGACAATTGGCTGTAGAAATTATAGTGACTTAGACTAAGGTGGTAATGGTAGAGAAAGTGAATATATCTTTTGATTTGGAGATGGATTAGATGTCAGTTTTGAAAACGAGAGTCAAGGATGGTTTTAGCAACTCAAAGAAATGAAGTTTGTCATTTTCTGAGTAAAAAAATAACTTAAAAAAAACCCTAGTTTTGGTTGGTGAAAAGATCAGAAATTAGGTTTTGAACATGCTAAGTTTGAGGTGTCTATTAGTAGAAATGTTCGGTAGGCAGTTGGAAAGAGTTGAGAGAAGACAGAGCTGGATGTTAAAATTTGGACTAGTTATGTTCATAGTAGACATATAAAGTCACAAGATTAGATGACCTTGCCTAAGAAATAAGCATAGCTAGAGAAAAGAAGACATCTAATTTGCCCTTTTGGGAAATAAATTAACAAAGTCATCATAAAAGAAAATGTTATAATATCTAACAATAGAAAAAATTTAAAGTTTCTTCATCACTTCTCAAGCTTTGATGCACATTTGAATCATTTTGTTAAAAGGAACAAAGTGAAGCCAGGCACATGCTATTATTCCAGCAACTCAGGAGGCCAAGGCAGATTGCAAATTCGAAACCAACCCCAGCAATTTAGCAGGGTATTCAGTAATTTAGCAAGAATGTATCTCAAAATAAACAGGTGCTGGGGATATAGCTCATTGGTTAAGCCCTGCTCTCAGCTCAAGCCCTGGTACCAAAAAAAAAAAAAAAAAAAAGGCCAAATGTAAAACAACTGAAAGTCTATAATATTTGTAAAAACATAAGGATTACCATCCAGAATAAAGAGTATCTATACATAAGAAATTAACCAACAAGAAAAAACAACCCTGTAGAACAAAGGGGAGTACAATATAGAGAATTTTCTAACAACACGGTGGCAACACCCAACTTTCTAGAAAATGCAAATTAAAACAACCCAATCCCCTTATATCCCTTTTAGAAAGTTTGTTAATGCCTAATGTTGGTAAGGTTTGTGGAAAAAAGGGGAGGGCTCATACCATGTAGATAGGAATATAGCTTTTGGCATTTCTTCTTTTGAGAGACATTTGGCATATTTATTAAAATTTTAAATATATGGGGTAGGGGTTGTGGCTCAGCGTTGGAACACTTGCTTAACCTGTGTGAGGACCTGTGTTCAATTACCAGGAATGAAAAAGGAAGAAAGGAAGGGCGGGGGTAGAAAAGAAATATGAAGGGGGGGGGGGGAACCCTTCTATCCATGAATCCTTTACCTAAATATTGAAGACTTGAATCTTTGCCCAGAAAGGCAGTTCAGAACTATTCATTGAAGCACTGAGGTTGATAAAAATGGAATAACATAAATGTACTCTAGTATGGGAATTATTAATTATTAAAGGATTTTTAAACCCTCTACTCATTTATTTCCCTTTGTACTTTTTAAAAATTTTTTAAATATTTATTTATTTATTCTTTTTTTAGGTATAGTATTTTTTAAATTTTAAATGAGGTCTCAATATATTGCCTGGGTTGGCAAATTCCTGGGCTCAAGTGATCCTCCTGCCTCAGCCTCCTGAGTAGTTGGGACTGCAGGTGCACACCATCACTCCTGGCGTCACATCTTTTCATTATAACTTTAATAGTTTAAAAGGCCATAATTTCTACTGAGTATTTCATTTATAATGTTAAATACACTTTTGGGTCACCTTAAAAACTTCAGATTGAAATATTTGGTTTATACATAAGACTGCCACATAATTTGCAAGCCAGTTCTCTCTGTGAAACTAGATAAATTGGACAACATCGTTCATCAAGAAAAAAGTTCTGATCTTTTTGTGTTATCTTAAAACAAATGTGTTGCCAGGCACAGTGACGCACATTTGTAATCCCAGCGGCTCAGGAGGCTGAGACAGGAGGATTGAAAGGGCACTAAGCAACTCAGTGAGACCCTGTCTCAAAATAAAATATAAAATAGGGCTTGGAATGTGGCTTAATAGTAGAGTGCCCTTGAGTTCATTCCCCAGTACCCCCCCACCAACCCCCCAAAATATGTTAATATGTGCCTTTGTTATAACTACTTAGACTTTTGAATTCTGTGCTGAATGGCTAGATAATGAATAAAACTTGGGACCTTACAAAAATCCATTTCATTGATAAAAACAGGTGTTTCCCTTAATTTTTATCTTTTCCCCCTTTTCAATTTCCCCTCTTTTAATGATCTATTTATGAGATACTTTGGAGTTTTTACATCTCAGAGTAGTGCATTTTAGCAGTATTTGAGATGGATAATAACTTTACCTTTCTTTTAAATGATAATTTTAATAGGGGAGGTGGGCAAGAAGAACTAGTTCTCCTTTTTTTGTTTTGGTTTGTTTTTTGTGGGGTTTTTTTTTAAGATATAATTTTTTTTTAGTTTTCGGCAGACACAACATCTTTATTTTATTTGTATGTGGTGCTGAGGATCGAACCCAGTGCCCTGCGCATGCCGGGCGAGTGCGATGCCACTTGAGCCACATCCCCAGCCCATTGGTTTGTTTTTTTGTTTTAGGAGGAGGTTAGTGTGTGTGTTTTGTTTTGTTTTATTTTTGCAGTTCTGGGAATGGAACTCAGCTCCTCATGCATACTAGGCCAGCAGTGTCACTGAATTATATCCCCAGCCCAGAATTAGTCCTTAAGCAAATCAGTTAAGGAGAGTACAGAACAGAGAAAAACTGAGGATCTGGAAATTGATTTTCTTAAAATTATCGTGTTCACCTAACCCTGGTTACCATTGAAGTGTGGAGATCATTGAAATTAGCAGTAATATAGAAAGATTATAAAATGAACATTTATTCGGCCATTAAGGAGGAGTAAAATAGAGGTGTACTAATGTGGGAAGAATTTTGAGGCATTGTTATTTAGTGGGAAAAATGTAAAAATGTTTTATATAATATTTATGTGTATTTGTGTGTTTTATATACATACATATTTGTTTTCCACATGAGTCAAAAGGGAACATTAAAGGTTAATACCAACCCTAAACATTTACATTTACTTTTTTGATGGAGGGCCTGGGATATACTAAATGATCTTTATTTATCTTTATTCTTTTAAAATATATATTTTTTTTAGGTGTGGAATATCAAACAAATGATTAAGTTGACACAGGAACATATAGAGGCCCTACTGGACAAATTCGGTGGGGAGCATAATCCACCATCAATATACCTGGAGGTAAGCTTTTGAGTATCATATTTGTAGTGATTTTTTAAAGGAAAAATACATTTATGTAAAAAGTTTTGTAGTGTTGATCTTGATTCTTGTAGGGTCTGGGATTAGCAATAGATACTGGAAGAGAGAATTAGCTTTGACTTTATTATCGTCTTAGTCTTGTTTCACTTGTTAAAATATACATGTACTATTTTATAATTTAGAAAATGCCAAAAGTAAGGAGGAAGTCCTCTTTAAAATATTTCTCTGAATAAAGAATTTTTAAAAGAGAGAAAGCACACTGTTTTTGTGGTCAACAAAACTAGTGACCATATTGGAAAATGAGGAATTTTTGTAAAATATCTTTTCTAGAATAAGTGCCCCTAGTATTGGTTTTTCTTCCTCATAGAAAAAAAAAATTGAATCATCTTGAAATAGCCCAACATTGCTTTACCTTTTTTTGTTTAATAGTTCCTTGAAGTTTGTGTCAAGACTTGATCATGATTGTAAATTTATATATGGAGTTAGTCGTTGTGTTAAGTCTTAATCCTGTGAAATAATAGGTACTATTGTAATCACAGATAAGCCTTCTTGACCTTAGTTTCCTTCTGGAAATCAGCAAGCCTCCATAGTGAGCCAGCTGTTGTGGAATGTAGGCACTCAGGTTCTACAGTACCCAGTGCACACCATTGCTCTCCACTGCCTTTACTTCACAGTAGTACTATATGACTAGTGATTCAGCTGTAATCACTAGTCATATAGGAAGATAACTCTAAATGATAAATGATTAGATTACCATTTGACTCCAAATGGCAGGGATTTTAAAGCATAGATTGAAAGACTCCAAATAAATTTCTAATTTAGTACTATAATTGCTTTTTTAAAGAAAAACCTTCATTATTTCATGAGAAAGTGCGTTTCTGAAATAAATCTTAGAATGGAGGGCTGTAGCAGTGATAGAGCCTTGGCCTAGCATACGCAAGTCCTGTGTTCCGGCACCACCTGCCACCTCCCTCAACCCCAATCTAAACAGGGTAAAATAAATGTTGGAAGTTTGGATACCAATCAGATAATAAACTGTTCTATTCTTTTCCTCCTATTCCTATGGCTTATCCCCTATCACACTACTAGTTAGGATCAATGGTAGGACTAGAATTCTTATCTGGATACTAGATACTTTTTCTAATATCTCATGCTATCCCTTTTACTTGGATGACTTTGGATGCCAGCAAAGGAGTCATGAAGATATAAATAGTCCTAGTGAAACCGATAATTCTTTGTTAATCAGAGTTAGACTATAAGCAGCAGTTTGCCTCACACCCATTTCTATGTCTTGGGGACTTCCCCCCATGCTTAAATATAATACATTTGCAGCAGTAACCATGTCTTTCAATAGTAGTGATTCACCTCCTCCTCCACACACATACTCTTTAAGACTTTTTAATATTTAAAGACTGATCATTAATAGCAACAAAACTTTGACTTAATGTGTGTCCAGTACTGTGTTAAACGCATTTGTCAGTTTAATCCTTATCATTACTTTGGGCTACATGCTAGGTGGTAGGTATTTTTGTTATCCCCATTTTGCAGGTGAATAAACAAAGCTTAAAGTGACTTACCCAAAGTGACACTGCTAATAAAGAGGGCAATTATCTAATACAGAAGTCTATGGTCTTATTCTACCTTTGTCATGCCTTTGTGCCCCTCCACCCTTACCCATAGTTGGGCTATATAATTCTAATTTCTTCAACCATTGTTCTTGACATAATTTGTGGATCTTTTACTAGGTATATTTTATTTCGCTGGTTTCTTTTTAGAATTAGACACATAAATTTGGGTAATATATTCAAATTATACGTCAGATCATAACTCAAGGGTTATGACATTATCATGTGGTAAAGTAACAGATTCTTATATTACACAATTTTTAGCTATATTTAGTGTTTATGAAAATATGTGTGTGTATATATATATATATATATATGTATATATACACATAAACATATATATACATATATACGCAGGCATACATAGAGGGCTATAAAATATAATGATTAACTTGAGCCAGTGAGGTCACACAGACCCCATTTTTTAATCCCATTCGGACCTTAGTTCCTGCAGACAATTTACCTAGTCTCCCTGTGTCCTACCTCATAAAATGAGAATAAGATTACACATGTGGTAATTTAAGGATCTGAGCTTTATGTAGTTTCTGAAATACAGTCCTGCACAAGTAGTTGGTTCATTCATTCAACAGATACTTATTGGGTGCCTTCTAACATTTGCACGGTAATGGTAGCTCATCATATGAATGCCCCTGGGGATATAGAAATTTTTTTAAAAGGTCCTAAATCTCTGCCTTAAACTAGTTGTGCTTGAGTCAGGGAAGAGAGGTACATACAATGAACATATAAATGAGCTAGAACATTGTACTTAACAACATTTAATGTACTGTGAAGAGGACCCTGGCTAGAAATTATAGAATTCTTGCCTATGGAAAACTGACCAGTCCAAGAGAAAAGACTTGTAAGTAGTGATATTTGAAGGCCCTTCAGTGTAAAATCAAATGTACACCCACCATTCTACAGGTTTCTAATCCTGCACTTAAGCAGTCCTTAATATGTTTTCTTTTTTTCCTTTTATTGGGGTGAAATACCCAGAAAATTTACCATTTTAACCTCTTTTAGGTATAGAATTCTGTGATTTTAGTGCATTCATAGTGTTGTGCTACCATTACCACATTACCGTTATTTATCTCCAGAAGATTTTTTTAATACAGAACAGATTGGTAATTTATTTTCATTCACTTGATTTATTAGAGAAAGATTCTTAAGAATATTGAAGACTGGTGTGTGTGTTAGCACACGCCTATAATTCCAGCAACTCAGAAGGCTGAAACTAGAGAATTGCGAGTTCAAAGCCAGCCTCAGCAAAAGCAAGGCGCTAAGCGACTCAGTGAGTCCCTGTCTCTAAATAAAATACAAAATGGGACTGGTGATATGGCCCCTGAGTTCAATCCCCGGTACTCCACCCACAAAGAAAAGAATATTAAAGACCTAAATAAATAAGCAAATTACATTTTAGTTCCATCTGATATGAAAATCTGCCTGTGACTTGGAAACAAGAAAATGTACCTTATTACAAGTATAATGACCACTCATAAGACTTAATTATAGGGCTGGGATTGTGGCTCAGCGGTAGAGCGCTCGCCTAGCACATGTGGGGCCCTGTGTTCCATCCTCAGCACCACATAAAAATAAATAAATAAAGGTAATGTGTCCAACTACAACTAAAAAAAAAAAAAAAAGCCTTCCGGCTGGGGTTGTGGCTCAGTGGTAGAGTGCTTGCCTAGCATGCATGAGGCACTGGGTGATTCTCACCACCACATACAAATAAATAAAATAAAGGTCCATCGACAACTTAAAAAAATTTTAAAAAAATAAGAATTATATATATATAGGATGCAAAAAAAAAGGACCATCAATACATGTGAAAAAGAAGAAATAATATACAGCATTTTTGGATGAGAGTGCATGCAGAAATAATGACTAAATTCTGTAGATCTTTATCATACCAAACTGAAACTTTTTTAAATATTTATTTTTATATCTTTACTTCATTTGTTTATTTTTATGTGGTGCTGAGGATCTAACCCAGGGCCTAACACATGCTAAGTGAGTGCTGTACCACTGAGCCCCAGCTCCAGCCCCCAAATTGAAACTTTTTATCCATTAACCACTAACTCCCTATTTCTCTCCTCCCAATCTGTAGCAACCAACATTCTCTTGTTTATATGAATTTTAATACTATGGTGGAATCATACAATATTTGTCCTTTTGCGACTGGCTTGTTTCACTTAGCATAATGTCTTCATGATTTATCCCTGCTGCAACATGAATAATGCATGCTTAAAAATTCCCTTCCTTTTGAAGTCTCAATAATATTTCATTATGTGTGTGTGCGCGTGTGCACCACATTTTGTTTAGCCATTCATTTGTCAGTGGACACTTGGGTTGCTTTTGTTGTTATGAAGAATGCTTCTGTGAACATAGGTATAAAAATAACTGAATGTTTTTTAGTTGTTTTGGAAATATATCAAGAAATAGAATTGCAGGATTACATGATAATTATATTTAAGTTTTTTAAAGAAATTATCATACCTTTTTACATAGTGCTTGCACTGCCTTACCTTCTTTTTTTATGTTTTTATTTGTTCTTTTTAGTTATACATGACAGTAGAATGTATTTTGAGATATCATATATACATGAAATATAAATTCCCATTCTTTTTGTTGTACATGATGTGGAGTTACACTGATCTTGTATTCATAGTGAACATAGGAAAGTAATGTGTTCAATTCATTCTCCTGTCTTTCCCCATTCCCATCCCTTCTCCATCTGCATATCAGAGAGAAAATTGACCCTTTGGGTTTTGGGGCTTATTTCACTTAGCATGATAGTCTCCAATTCTATCCATTTACCAGCAAATGCCATAATTTCATTCTTCCTTATGGCTAAGTAATATTCTATTGTGTACATGTATCACATTTTCTTTATCTGTTCTTCTGTTGAAGGACACTTGGTTCCGTAGCTTAGCTACTGTGAATTGAGCTGCTATGAACATTGATGTTCGAGTCACTATAGTATGCTGATTTTAAGTCCTTTGAGTATTTGCTGAGAAGTAGGATAACGGATCAAATGGTGGTTTCATTCCAGTTTTTCTGAGGAATCTCAGTACTGCTTTCCAAATTGGTGGGGCTGCACCAATTTGCAGTCCCACCAGCAATGTGTGAATGTACCTTTTTCCCCACATCCTCGCCAACATTTACTGTTCCTTATATTCTCAATAATTGTCATTCTGACTGGAGTGAGGTGAAATCTTGATGCAGTTTTAATTTGGATTTCTCTAATTACTAGTGATGTTAAACATTTTTTCATGTGTTTGTTGGCCATTCATATGTCTTCTGTGAAGTGTCAGTTCAGTTTCTTTGCCCATTTATTGATTGGATTATTTTTGTTTTTTT